CTGTTTCCCACTGCTGCACTTCACTTCTCTAGAACTTAACGTTGTCCATTTTTATACTTGTTAACTTGTCCTTCATCTGTCTTGAGATCAGAAGCCATAGCTTTTCATTATGAATCCCCCGTATCCAGCAAAGTCCTACACGAGTAGTTGTAGTTTTCAAAAATAGAAGCAGTGACTGGAAACAGTCTCAGATGTACTTGCACAGCTTCCCATTTCCCATCATGAAGCAGAATCTCTCTCTCTCTCTTTCTCTCTCTCTCTAGTCAAGATCTAAGGAAGAAGGAGAGCAGAATCTGTGACAGTCTCAGTAAACACAATGCTGTCAAATGCTTCACTTCAAAGCCAGATTGTGAAATCAGGCCTCTGCCTGCTGCTCCCTTAGGACAGTCACTAGCCATGAAGAAACCTGAACAGACCTGCCATGGGTAGATGTGGTTTGTCCCCCAGAGGTTCATTCACGTGGCCCTCAGAGTCATGGCACTGTAGTGTGAACCTTTTAAGAGGCAGGGCCTACTGGGAAGAGATTGGGTCACTGGGATGCTGTCTTCAGAAGAAATTAAGGAAGTTCTCAGGGAACCTCACTAATCATCTCTAGAGTGAGCTGTTGTAAATGTGTGAGTCTGACCCCTCTCCACTCTTTGCCAGCTTGCTCTGTGAGTCCTCTCATGCAGTCCCATCTTAATGCCCAATGCCATGAGCCACTCACCACAGGACAAACAAATAGGACCACCCTGATTTGACTTTCACCTTCCAAAACTGCAAGAGAATAAATCTCTTTATATATTTCCCCACCTCTGTATTTTGTTACAGCAGTGGAAAATAGACCAACCACACAGAGAGCACAAGGTGGGTCCTACTGGCAACTTGCTTCAATCCTCAGATAGATGAGTGAATGAACCTTCAGATGACTCTGCCCTCCAATCTTCAAGTTTTCCAGCCAAGGTCTGAGACAATGTCAGGGGAGAAGAGATCCCATGTGTGCCATGTCCAATTCTTGACCAAAGAATTTGTGACAATAATAAATGTTTGCAGTGGACTACTATGTATTGTTGTTATGGTTTGTGTTTAGATGGCCCCCAAGCTTCATGCAGTCATGGAGGCAGCTGAATCTAGTGTTTGTGACTGATTTGTTGACTATTGCTAGAATTGCAGTGTGAGTGCTGCACCCACCCAGGGGGTGGGGAGGGAGCATTTATGTAAGGGCTACAAGGAGGCACACTTCCCCTCTTTTGCCCTTTTGCTCTTGCTGTTTGTGGTCACCATGAATGGGTGTCTCTCAGGCACGCCACCCTGCTTTGGAGCCAGCTGAGTATGGACCGAAAACTCTAAACAAAGAAATAAACCTTTCCTTCCTTTTTGGGGGGGCATCAGATATTTTGTCTCAACAATGAGAAAAAAGTGACCAAGACAGTTGTGGTCATTTGTTACTCAGTCATAGTAAACTACAGTGGTGAGTGACAGACACTGAATAATTGATGAGTAGTTGACCATGGGTACCATCAGCTCCTTGGACCCACAAAGGGTGGGAAGGATGGAAACTATTTCAGGAAATGTGTCGAACTGGAATGCATGTGTTTCTTAAATTTTAAAGCACAGATGTCTGTAAATATCTACTACAAAAAGTAGAAATTTTTTAAAATTCAGGGTTCCTTTAAGCCATAAAAAGACATGGAAGAAGCTTGAATGTATATTAATAAGTGAAAGAAGACAATCTGAAAAGACTACACACTTATGATTTCAACTCTAAGATACTGGAAAAGCAAAACTACAGAGACAATAAAAAAATACTAGTGGTTACCAGGAACTTGGTGGGAAGCGATGAACAGGGGGAGCACAAGGCATTTTTAGGACAGTGAAGCTGTTCTATATGATAGTATAATGGTGGATACATATTACTGTACATTTGTTAAAATCCACAGACTGCGCAACACCAAGAATGAACATAAGTATTAACTATTTTAGTCCTAAATGCTAAGGATTTGGTCATTGTGGGTTCATTGATTACAGCACTGTTCCACTCTGGTGTCGGATGTTAATAGAGGAGAATCTCTGTGTGTGTGTGTGTGTGTGTGTGTGTGTGTGCGTGTGCGTGTGCGTGTGTGTGTGTGTGTGTACATGCATGAGAGGGGAGCCATGAAGAAAGCAAAGAATACAGGGGAAGCTCCAACGTATTTCTAGTGTGTTTCCTAATATTTTTCCCTCCCACTCAACATTGTGAATCTAAAACTGTACTAAAAAAAAGTCTTTTTTAAAAAAGATCTTTTAAATGTGGTCATATTTGTCCATGTTCCTGGGCCCTTCAGTCTCCCTCTCATCAAACACCTCATAAGTAAACAGCTTGTGCAGTCATTGGCAGGATAGTTAGTGCTTTTGTCATTGCTCTGGCACTCAAGGGAAAGTCTGACTTTGTACATCAGGAGTTAATTTACCTTGGGACTTATTCTTCCAAGCCCTTCTTTCTTTGTTGAGTGTGTGTTATGCGGGAGTGCACTGGCTCCCAACACAATTTAAGAAGTCTGCTGGTTTTGTTTTGAGTGACAGTGAACACAACTTCAGCCTAAAAGGCACAGAACAAAGTGAATGGCTCAGGATGAGATTCAGACAAGGACTTTGTGGCTTCTAAAATGACTGCTTAGGTAAAAATACAAAAATACAAAAAAAAAAAAAAAATGACTGCTTAGTCTTTATTCTTAGGTTTTTTTTTTTTTTTAGCAATTATTAATTAGCAAATGAACTGTTTTCCAAAAAAAAAATCAGTGGGATCATTATAAACAATGATTTCATTTTGTTTTTAAATTGACACTAGATGCTCTAATTGGGTTTTTATTATTGTGTCTATTGGTTTAATAGATTTCTCCTCAGGAAATACAGCACGTAACCACATAGTCCTGATGGCTATTTGGATGAGGATTTGGAGTTTTAGAAGCACTTGTGATGCCAATGATTCACGTTTTCAGTTGCAGCTGAGTAGCCTGACTTGGCTCTTGGCTGCACATACAAAGGCACACACACCTGCTAACCATCTGGCATGAAGAGGAACTTCATGGTTCTCTCTCTCTCTCTCTCTGTCTCTCTCTCTCTCCTCCTACGTTCCTCCACAGGATTATTTCTCACACTCAATTTTCCAAACTTCCTATCACATTTTGCCTTATTGCTGTCAGAGTTTTGATTTCCAAGAGTTTGACTTTTTTTTGATTTTTCAAAGAACTTTTCTGTAACCTTCTAATGTCCTTCCCTTTTCTCTGTGTGTCAGTCTTAGTCTCTGTGTCTGTCTGTCTCTCTCTCTCTCTCTCCTATCAATGATCATTTTTGGAATGTTCCTCCTGCTCTTTTCATTATTTCTGTTTCTCCTGAGCTTTGAAAAATAGTTTTTCTGTTTGTGTTTTAATGACTTATTTTTATAACAGTTTTTTATTTGGCATTTCCCCAGATGTTTACTCATCGTTGGCTCCCACCTCATATTTAAGGCAGAGGCACGAAAAACAGATTGTAAGCTGAGTAATGTGTGTGTGTGTGTACACGTGTGTGCAAACCCATGTGATGGTGTTAGGTCTGCAGGGAGTCTGCCAACTGATGGACTGTTCTGCAGGTGATCTTGTGGGACTGTTTCATTGGGACCTTCCCATTGCTAATTTCTCTAGATCTCTTCTCTACTGTCACTTTCCTCACAGCCTCAGTTTCCCAAATCCTCTCTGATCTGACAGATCTAAACCTGGCTGGCAGCATTGTCAGCTGAAGTGAAAGAATGGGGATCCTCTAGTCGATCCTCAGTTATCTATGTGGTGCACTGCTCTGATGTCACAAAAGCTAGAGTCTCTCTGGCCTGCCCCCTGCCCCCTTTAGACGAGCTCTGGACCTCTGACACTGGAGTCCAGGAGTTCCATACACACCTGTACACACCTGCTTGCTGTCTTCTATTGTTGCTCTCTCTTGCACCCGAGAGCCACCAATTTCCGAGGCTCTCTCTAGCCCAAGCCAACCTGCTCCTACATGGCCCCCAACGTTAACATTGGTTTCAGAGTCCTTTGGTCAGCTGAACCAAGAATCACTTTTCCATATGATTTCCAGCTTCCAAATGTTTATTTTCCTTTCTTTTCATCCTTGTGAGTTAAATCTTTTCAAATATTTAAATTTAAATTAAATGTTTAAATTCACTGTCATTTTGGTGGAGACGGGGACAACATTATAAATGTGTTTCCAGTTTGTCACATTTTAACAGGACCTTTGTGCAGCGGAATTCAGACAATGCAGTGGTAAAATGGAAAATGACTTAATTCTGGTTGGAAACAGGCTTCACTTTTGAAATTTCCTTGAGGTTCTCAGAGATTTGGTTGTTACTATAGGATTTTGCATTTCCATATGTGTTCTATTTGTATTAAATATTTAGAACAGAAAAAATAAAAAGCTGAAAATCAACTCTCTCAAGGAGTCAGAAAAGGAACAGAAAGCTGTACTTACGTAGAAGGAAGGAAATAAAGGTGAAAGTGAATGAACCAAAAATAATAGAGGAAAGAAAAATTCAGCAGTGTCAGAAGTAACACTCTGATAAGAATGATCCTGAGCAAAAAGAACAATAAATTAATAAGTTGCCAGGATCAGAAATACCCCTTAGATAATAACTAGATCATATGTTATTATAAATGATAAGTTCAAATCTTTATGTCACTTAGAAAAAATACCCTACCAAAGAAGACATGAAAAAATTTAATGTCCCCCACACACCCCCAAAATAAAGTAACTTCCAGGCTTAAATGCCTCATTGGTGAATTGGACCAAAACTTTCAATAAGAAAAACACAAATTTTATACAAACTTCTGCAGAACAAAGAAGGATGGAACAGTTCTCAAGTTGTTTTAACAGACCAGCATGTCCTGGTACCACAGTCTGACAAAGACATTATTAGAAAGGAAAATTACAGCCCAATCCCACACATAGATCAAAATATCCTGAATAAAAGTAAGTTGGATCCAGTCATGTATAAAAAACATAACACACTGTGATCAAATTTGCTCATTAAACTGATTTATTCAGGAAATTCAAGGTTGAGTTTCCTTTCAAAAATTAATATAATTCACCATCTTAAAACAAGAAAGCAGCAGTTGTACCAAGGTACTCATTTAAGATGCTTTGCTGTCAGGTGGAATTGGGGGGGAACTGGACAGTTTTATCCATAATTCATCAATCCAAGCTGAAGTGAAGACATTCTGCACTGAACGGAACGCAGCTCATCGGACAAGGATGGAGGGGTGGCCACTCTGGAAAGGGTCGGGAGACACAGATGGGCCTGATTCCGAAGAACGGAGGACAAGAACCAAAGTACTTGGCGAGAGGACCTTTAGGAGGAGTCAAATTCCACTCCTTGTCTACAAATACAAAGGCTTCCTGAGGACACTGTGTGTTCTGGTTCTCAAAATATGTTCACAGTTCCTGAGAATTGCTCAGAGTTTCATAATAAGTACATAGTCCAACTTCCTTCTGATAACATTGCAGTTAGATTTGGCCTAGTTCCATGTGTCCTACGGTTAAGGGTTTTGGTCATCTCTGAAATGTTGACACAAAGAGGTGAGAGTGGCAGAGGTTCATAGGAATGCATCAAGAGGTAGCATCTCGTGTCCCCCACCTGTGCCAGTCATCTTTGAGGAAGATCACCATCTTATATGAGGCTGGCCACATATTATTTCCCAAAATCTTGGGTTATCTGTTCTTGTTTTTCATCTACTTTCTATTTCAAAGGTTAAAGTCAAGACACTTTTTCTTTTCTTCTTCTTTCTTTCCTTTTCTTTCTTTCTTTTTTCTGCAGCATGGGTCTTGCTCTAGCCTCATGGTTAAGCACATAGCTTCTGGTGACAGCTCTGAATTCAATTCCCACTCACCTTTAGAGTCACAGAAAAGATCTGAAGTAATTGTCACTTGGTCAGGGTTCTCCAGAGAAACAGAATGGATAGAATATATGAGTGGGTTTATTTGACTGGCTTACATGCTTAGTAGCCAATAGTACCACAATAACCATCTACAGGCCGGAGAGCTGGAGAAGCCAGCAGATGCTCAGAACAAGGAGCTGGCAGCCTCAGAACAGGAGAGCAGCTAGAGATGCAGCCCCAGTCTAAGGCCAAAGACTTGAAAACCCTCAGAGAGCCAGAGGTGCAAGTCTGTGTTTGAAAGCTGAAGAGCCTGAGATCTGATGCGGGGCAACAATAGCAAAAACAAACAACAGACACACACACACACACACACACACACACACACACACACACACACACCTATTTGAATAGGATCGAATGCACATAGTGCAGACCTCCCCACTTTGGATTTTGTTCCTGTAGGCCTCAACCAACTGGGTGGTGTCACTCACACTTGGGACAGGTCTTCTTCATTCAGTTCTAGGACTCATCTACAAGTCTCTCCCAAAACGCCCTCGTGGACACACCCAGAAATGTGCTTTAGTAGTTCTCTGGACGTCCTTCAATCTCAGCGCTCTCAGACTGTTGACCAGTCTCTGATTAGCTGACTGCCCTAAGACTTTCTTCCATTGTGGCCTAAAGTAATAAGTGCAGGCATTGTTCTGAGAAAGGACTTCACTAAGCAGTTCAGGCTGGCCTTGGATTCACTGTGCAGCTCAGACTGGCTTTGTACTCACAGCAGTCCTCCTGTCTCAACCTCCTGAAGTCTGGGATTACAGGTGTGCACCATCATGCCTGGCTATCCGGGAGTATTTGAAAATAAGTTAGACACTGAAATAGCTATCTTTACCACATCCTAGTTAATGATCTGAATTAGTCAATATTTCCACATCTTAGATTCCTTATTTGTCTATAAACATGGATTATTGGGTCAATAAATGAAATAACGTATATAAAGTACTCAGAATATGCCTGACATAAAAAGCACCAAAAGTATGGTGACTTCTATTATTAACTGAAGAGGGAATTACCACTGCATATGTTCTACTTGCCTCCTTAAAGGCCTGATTCTTCATCAAAGTTTGATAAAAATGGAGGTCCACCCAACTACGTCTATGCTGTCGCACACTAGGGGCTGAATTGTCACAACAGAGAGGCAGGCTCTGGACTTATGAGTTGGGAAACTTGATTTTCCTCAGCACTGCCAGAGGTAACTCATAACCAAGCTCATTAGAAACTGATGTACAATCAAAACCTTCAATTTATAAATTGTAATGAGAAATATAGCTACTGAGTGTATTGGATATTTAAGTCCCTAGGATGAAACACTGGTTCATTTTATGCAGTGAATACTTGCTGAAGACCACATCATTAGAACTTAGGTAATTCAAAGCAATTTTCCTAATTAATAAATTTAAACTACAAAAGAGTATGTTTCCTGAGCACATAAATCTACACTCATTGGTGCGTAACTGCATTTAATGGCATTTTCCATGTTTTCAGTATCATTTCTGATATTTTGCAGAAGTCAGTCTTCTGTCCCACAAGTGTATCATATCATAACGGCTCATAGGTCTTCTTCAGAGTCTTTTAATGACATCTAAAGTCTGAAATACATGCACCGTTGTTAGTACTTTTCTGCACCACCAATTATGAATGTTCACATTACATGACCTGAAATGAAAAAAAAAAGTGTTCTAAATCATGATAATAGTTCAGTTGCCACCAAGATCAATCAAAGTTTTGAGCCTTATGAATAAAAACACGGCTCATGAACACTGGCAAGAGAAGGCCTTGAAGTCTACAACTTGCATCTCATTTGTCTGAGCAGTGATAAAGTCTTCTGCCTTCATTATTTTTCTGTTGCTGAGACAAAACACCTGACATTCACAAGTCAAAGGAGGAAAGGTTTATTTCAGCTGACAGTTTGTGGAGGTTTCAGCCCTTGGTTGAATGGCTCCAAGGCAAGGTGACGGGGCACAGGGCATCACAGAGGAGACACAGTCCATGGCGAGGCAGGTAAAAAGCAGAAATCAAGAGCACCGGGGCAGTGAGCCTGCCTTGTTTCTGTCCCTTTATATTATACCCAGGCCACAAACCTACTGATTGGTTCCACTCATACCCAGAGTAGGGCTTCCAATATCTGCACCCTTAACCCCAGTGTCATACCTTTAATTCACATTCACACATCCTAACCCAGCCACCTTTGAAATACCCACCTATGACTGCATGAGACTTTAGGGGGGACTTGTAGTTACTAGCAGCCATAATGTGATTCATTTTTAATTTTGGGGATAGGCACAATTTCTCATTTTGTGTTCATCCCTAGTCCCTTATATTTTGTTTTGTACAGAGTCTTGCTAAGTCTCTTAAGTTACTCAGGCTGGACTTGAACTTGTGATCCCACTGTGTCAGTCTCCCAGGGTAATGGGATTATAGTTGTGTGCTACAAGATGGAAATTTTAAATGCTTGCCATAAAGGATGATTGAGGATGACAATGGTAACACTTATTAGGACCTTCCCAGAAATCACTCGATGTATATACATTACTACATTCATTTTTTAGAAATTCCAAGAAATAGGAATTATGGGGTTATGGAAGTTAAATAAAATGACCAATGCCAAATAGCTAATAAACTGTAGGACTGAGATCCAGCTGCAAATGTGAGCTAATTTCAGATCAAGACACACTACTCTTCCTTCCTAAAACTAAATGAGGTCATATTTTTAAAATGTCCTAGAGCAGTACTTTTTAAAGTAGATTATCAGTGGCTGAAAATTATGGTTTCCATTTTTATAGTAACTTCTTCCCCCATGTCCAACACACACACACACGCACACACATACACACACACACACACACACACACACACACACACACAGAGTGCCCAAAGGCATAAAATTAACAAGAAGAGCTTGGAGCACATCACAACCAGAGATGGAACTTAGAAGTTTGGCTTCCTGCAAGCTTGCCTACAGGGTAACGTATCATGGGATTGTGTTTTCCTGCATCCTGGAATCTCACGTTCCTGGTTGCTAGCTGTGAGTTGCGGCAGAGACTGCTCACCTTTACCAAATGCACCACCCTTTTCCCCGGCTCAGGGCTGTACTATGCTTTGCTGCTTCCCTTGAATACATTCACTGGACAGTACTGGCCATGTAACTGAGTTCCAACCAAAGGATGAGTAGGGTGATGTCCCAATCTCCAGGCCTGATCCATGCACCCTCCTACCCCCATACGCTCTTCCTGCTGCCAGCTTGAACCAGGTGGGCATGGCAGCTTGGTGTCACATGCTGGAGTTGAATAACCATAGAGGGAAGGAGCCTAGGTTCCTGGATTCCTAGATTCCTGGATTTGTGGAGCACCATCTGCTCGTAAGCACCTCTACATCACTGTCCGTGTGAAAAGAAATAAACTTTTATTGTTGGAGTCAGAGTTTGCTCCAGCAGCAAGTGTCCCTATCAGCCAACAGACTTCTCCTTTTGGTCCCACTGTTCCTGATTTCCGGAAAATCCAAGGGGACACAATGAAACCAACAGCTGTCTGAATCCCACTCCACTGCTTACCAACAGGTCACTTGGCCCCTTCACGGTACAGTTTCTGATTTGGATGATCATCATGCTTGCTTCACTAGTGTTCCTGGACTGTTTGAACCACACAGCAGGGTGTGCTCTCATTGTGGACCTTAGGAATTGGTAATTTTGCATTACTATAGTATGTAGCTAAGATAGCAGCTTAGAAAGAGAAGAAAGTTCATTTGACTCAAAGCTTTAGGGTTCCAGTCCACAGTCAGTTAGCCCCATTGCTTTTGGGCCAGTGGTGAAGCAGAGTCATGGGAGGAGCTGTGGGGTGGAGCAAATCTCTTGCCACAGACTGGAGAAAAGAAAGAGGAGACGCTGGATTCCCATAATCCACTTCAAGGGCAGTAACCAGATGCCTCTCACTAGACCCCACCCTTTAAAGACCCCACCACCTCACAAGAGTGCTGCAGACAGAGAGCCAAGCCTTTGGGGGACACTTACCGAACCATAAAAACAGCACAGTGCAACAGCACTGTGCTTTTAAACTGTCATGGGTGACTTCATCCAAAATGATTTCCCAGCTGGCTCTGGTTGACTCAGAGAATACCTTGTCAGCTAGGATATCCTTCTGTCCCAGAAAGAGCCTTTCTCGCTCAAAAAAATGAAGCTGTCCTTGGGCCATGACAAAATGCTATTGCTATGGACTCTGCCAGGAAGGAAACAGCAGACATTACAGTTCAGGCACTCTCGCCCAAGGTGGGAGGAATTCCAAATTCCAGGCCCACAACCCTCTCATTCTCTCCTTCATTCACGTCATTCATTCATTCATGAATGTCTCTATCTGTCCCTCATTCATTCCTCCATGTGACATGCACTTACTGTGTCATAGTCTGTGACCATGATGTACAGAGGATGAAAAAGATTACTTGGAGATGAGATTTAGTTCAACCACCGACAAGCCAGAGGGACTACTCCTTTAGCGGAAGAGAGCCTCAGGGAAACAGCCCCTAGCTGAGACTCTGCAGCTATTTATTTGTAACTCAAGGACAGGAAAAGAAAAATATAGAAGAAAAGCACTTGCAACATTTTTGTATAGGAGTTTTGGTCAGGGGACAGGGAAAGAATGAGGTGGTTTATTACGTGACATACACTGACATAGTTTAAGCAATCTTATCAAAGGGACACTATAGTCAAAGCAAACATCTCTGAAAATAACTGCTTTTAATTCTGCTGATTGTTGTCCTGCAGATTTTCCTCTAACGTCTAACCGTGCATTCCAGGAGGCCTGAACTGTTGTGCAGAAACTTCTTTTGGTTTTCACATTCACTTCAGTCATCCCCATAGCTACGGAAACAACTTCCGTGTCTACTTCCATCCCTGCAATGATCATTTCCCCCAAAGGGCACAAACATCTACAAGGCATTCTGAGTGGGCAGGTATATGGATAATCTTTAACATATGCACCTTGAGACCACGGTAAATGAAATAAGTCAGACACCCAAGTTTAAATATCCCCTGAGCTCTCCTGTGTGAGAGATCTAAATTATAGTATATGTAAATTAAAGAGCAGAATAAAAAAGATAATAAGAAGCAGGCAGATAGATCTTTTACAAAAGGGAAGTGGTCAAAAGATGGAGGAGGGGAGAAAGAAAAAGTGGATAAAAAAAGAATTGACATGTGTTATGTACATACGTCAACTCTCCACAGTGACTATAAGTATTATGTACTGCAAACCTGTAATACAAAAATTAGGTGTATGGAAAACAGCTTTAATAAGGGAGAAAGCACACACAGTACAAACCAGGCATGGTTGTGTGTGCCTGTAGTCCTAGCTTTTTGGGAGGCTGAAGCAGGAGGATGCTTTGCACTCAGGAGTTCAGGGCCAGCCTAGAAAACAACATAACCCCATCTCTAAATGAACAAAAACCTGTAGGAGGATCTTATGTATTACAGTAAAGTGCCCTCAAGTTCTCCTGTAAGAAAAGAAGATAACAGTAGGATATTTAATAGATAATGCCTTAAGGATCATTAGATAATGCCTTAATCATGCTAAAAAGACAATCCAGGGACTAGGCATGGTGGTACATGCCTGTAATTGCAGCCCTTAGAAGGCTGAGGCAGGAGGACTGCCACAAGTTTGAGACCAGCGTGGGCTACACAGTGAGTTCAAGCTCAGCCTGAACTGCATACCAAGACTTTGTCTCAAAAAAAAAAAAAAAAAAAGAAAGAAAACAAAAAAGAAAAGATTATCTAGAATTCTAATCAAAGGGCCCATACATGAAGAAACACCTTGATTTTAGTGGGAGAAAATGGTGAAAAAAAATGTACATTCAAGTTAAAATTTTCAAAAGTGTGCATTGTTAAAAAAATGTTCACTATATATATTTATATGCCAGGTGCTAATTATTCAGTTGGGCTTATCTTGTTGCGATCTCAAACAGCAAACTGCACAAATAAAAGGCAGCTTGCAGCTTATTTTGCCCTTACACAGAAAGCCAACAGACCCAGAAAACCTTGGCCGTGCCTGGCTCAGGCTACATCATTCTACCTCCCTCTTGGGAGAAAGCCTTCTTATTGGAAAAGTATTGGTGATTACCTCTCTCTGTATCATTCCTAGAATAATTGTCTCTGTGTTGTAGTCACTCAACACCCATGCTTAAAAGAGGAGAGGTTTATTTTGGCTCCTATTTTAGTCCATGATTAGTGGACTCTAAAGAAGAAATAGTATGGCAGAGAGGCATGGAGGGGGAGAAGCTGCTCACATCATGGCGGCCAGGAAACAGGGAGTGAAAGGAAGGCGGAAGGGAAACAAACCCTTCCGGGTCATGTCCCAGGGGCCACCTCTTCTGACTTGACCTGACTTCCCAGCAGCATATTTGGCTATTAACTCATCAGTGGATGAATCCACCCATCAATATGGTGTACCAATCAGTTTCCCCAAGCCTTGCCTATGTATGGATGAGGCTCTGGGAGGGGGACATCTAGATATAAACCACAAAACTATGATACACACTAAAGTATGAATGATTAACAGCTAATGGTAACTGAATATCTTCTGCGGGATGCAATGGGGAATGTATTTTATATAAATTGTTATCTTCACCAAACCCTTCCCTCTGGTATCTGCCTATTAATGATTTCCAAATTGTTAAATTTCTGATAGCCACGTGAGTGACTCTTAGGGTTGACAAAGGAAAGGAAAGGAAAGATTTCACTTAGATTTTGTTAATAATAATGAGAATAATGATGAAATTAAGAATAGCAGTAATCAACACTTAAGTAATCACCTTGCTTGTGTCAGCCACTGGTGTGCTTTGGCACATTACTTCACTTATGCCTCAGCATTTGAGATATTGTTTTATATCCATATATGCTGTGTGAGGTAGGTTTTAATATTACCAGTCCAATTTTACAAAAAAAGGAAGTCACACAGCTGTAGCAGAGCTAGATTTGAATCAGACAGTCTGGCTCTAGGGTCCACCTTGTTGTTAAAATCTCTTTTCTTTTACCAGAGACAATCCCCTGCAATTCAGTCTTGGAAGAACAGGAAGAACAGCCCCCTGTGGACAGAGGAGAGGCTCTCAGAATCCTCACAAAACCCCCAGCCTTGGGCTCTATACTGTTTCTTCCTGGGTCTCCCTCTCCAGCAGGGGGCGCTCAAACCTTACATTTTTCTAGGTTTCCCCCTGCGAATTGAAAATTTAAGACCCTTTGTAGGAAAAAGCTGATCCTAAAACTTTGTCTCTTGATGTATTTACAGACTACTAATCGGTGGAATGATCCGATCCACAGAAATCACAGGACTGTCCCAGGACATTTCTTGGAGGGCCTGCAACAGACATTAGTAATCAGGAGCCTTAGAAACCTGTGTAGGCCCCAGGCTTCTAGTAGCACTGCCTAACTGCAGATAAGCCACAAGGACCCTGGGGCACTTGGCAAACAGGCTGTGAGAACTGGGCCACTCTCAGGATGACCTGCATCGTGTCAAGCCTTTCAGCTGGTGTGTAAGATCCAGGCTCCACTCTGCACTGCCCTGTTGTGCTAAGGTTTACCCTCTTGTGACCTTTGTTACATCCTTTGCAGGAAACTAATTCAGAGGAGCAACTCTGTAAGGCCAGACCTCAACCTGGACCAGAAGCAGAAATCCCAGGTTGAGCACAACCTGTACCTTTCACTGTGATGGGAGGTGGGTTGCTCTTGGTGGGGAGACTCTGTACCTCCTCTCTTAATTCTGTCCTAGAAATACAGGTGAAGAGCTGCCTTTCAATGGGGGCTCTCGGATCAGTAGCAAGAACAAAGTTGCTTGTCCTGGGAACGCAGATGTTCTCCAACATCATATACAAGGTGTTGTCCAAACTGCAAATTATCTTTCTGTGAATATCATTAGTTGCATTGTCGTGGCTTCCTTGATGCCCTGAATCAACTCAAAATGCTCACCTTTCATGGTTATTTTGACCTTGGGGAACAGCCAGGAGTCACATAGTGCGGGATCCAGTGAACAAGGTGGATAAAGACACATCATAATACTTTTCTTTGACAGAAATTGCTGTAAACATAAACTGTAATTTGTTTCAGAAAGTGGCAAGAATGATGGAATAATAGCAATGTGTCTTTTACTATCATACATTTTTAAAAATTAAACATCCATATTTTTTAATCACTGCATACGTCCCCAGCTGTTAAAGGAGCCCAGCCTTGGGACCCTCATCTGCTCTTCTTCCTTGGTCCAAACGCTTGTGTCTCCCTAGAGTCTACATTGAAATCCTAACTCCCAGGTTGATAATCTAAGAAATGGAGCTTTTAGGAAATAGGGTGATTAGAGAGCCTTCTCCCCTTCTACCAAGTGAGGTGCCATCTATGAGGCAGAGATGGGGGCCTCATCAGGCACCAGATCTGCTCATGTCTTGACCTTACACTTCTAGGCTCCAGAACTGTAAAACACAAATGACCATTATTTATGAGACACTCAGTTTATGACATTTGGTTGCAGCAGACAGAAAAATGGCACCCTGTAGAGTGACCCTTTTTGTGTGCCTACTCTGGCAAAAGAAACAACTCAGAATTCCCAGAGGAGAGAGCGCTCACTCACCACCAGCCTCCAGGCAGGGCTGTACCAGATTGCCAGGACTCGGTTCTGGCCCTGGCCCGTAGGAGCTGAACGTCGCTGCGAAGCCTGTGCATGCCCTTTCTTCCACGGTCTCCTCACCTGCAAAGGAAAATAGTAAAACCTGTCTCATAGGAGGCTGCGTGTACTCAGCGAATCAGTGCATGTGTAAGCAACACGGTGTTGGATGTGGAGGAAAGAAATGCTTGTATTTCTTAGCTGATGAGATTAAACTCATTTCTGGAGATGGAAAGAATGTGGACATTCTCACTGTGAGGCTCTTGGCTGGAACCCCAACAGTTCTGCTCTGGGCGACACTGACAAGTTCCTAGCTTCCCCAGGAAAGCGTGCCCTCCTCTTGCCACCTCCAGCCACCAGGAAGTTGTGCCAGACTCAAATCCCCGAGACTGATTGACTTGGAGTTGAGGTCAGCTGGGGTTCAAGAGGGCCTCCGTTCTGACTTTCACTGTTCACTGGCTTGTGGCATTTGTGTCCCATGGCTGCGGAGCCAAAGGGCGGTTGGCAGGCACACAGTGTGGGCCTTCTTTGGCCCTGTTTACCTTCCAGGAGCAGGCAGGGTGTGGCCAGCCTTTCTGGGTGGTGAGGGTTGCAGGGTGTGGTGAGAACACTGGCTGTGGCCGCCCAGATGGCCTGGGGGAAAAGCAGGAGAGAAGCGAGCCACCGGGCCTGGTGACCCGGGGGTCTGACTGCCGCGGCCAGGCAGCAGCCTGCTCTGTTGTGGAGTAACTATGGTGACAGAAATTCTTCCCTCCTCAGAATACTTCCTTGAGGACAGTAACAACGGCATACTTTCCCGGGTACTTATCCACAGGGCACGCCAGAGCCTCCTCCCAATGGCTGTGACCTGGGCTGCTGTGCCTGAGCCCTGGCGCCTCTCTCTCCAGGCTGAGACCTCAGGCACACTCAGCCCCTCGGGTCCTCAACTTCATCCACAAGCAGAGGGGCAGTGAAGAGCGCCTTCTTATGGCCCTTGTAGAGGACTAAAGGAGAGAGCCCAAAGACACGGGGAGGGAGGGTGGCAGTCACTGCATAGATTTCCGCCTATGATTTCATGTTGTCCTTCCTATAACAGCTCTGCAAAGTAAGCCCTCAGCAATGGGGTGGAGAGCATGTGCAGAGAACCAAGCAAAAATGGAATCTAATTCCAAGATAAACTGATTCTGAATTCCGAATCCTGGATCCCAAATCAGCAAACCTTCCCATCTTTCATTCAGCAACTTTATGTAAAGAAATGTTTTTGAGTTCCCCACTATGAGCCAAGCTGCTGAACCCTTATTTAGTTGGTTGAAAGTTCCAATGGGACTCACTTCATACATACTCATGAAGTATGTATTTTTTCACTGTATCTCTTCTGAGTCCTAGATCCAGCTAGGGTCAAGTGGCCAGGGAACCTATGTCACTACTGAGAAGGCCGTTTGGGGGCCAGCAGGCAGCCTGCTAGTGCTCTAGATAAGGACAAGGTCCCAGGGCTGTTTTCTGTTACCTAACCAGCTGATAAACCTACTCACCTTGAATAAGTTACTTAACTTCCCAAGGCTGCACATTTTAGAGCTGGTGGAGAGACAGTACTCAGTGCCATGGGTCTACTGTCAGATGCATGTTCGGAGAGCAGCCCTGGGCACAGGATACCCTCCAGAAGTTCTCTAGAGTTGGGTTTGACTCAGATGTGGACAGGCCTAAAGAGCTTTCTGGCCCCTTGGCAACTCACATCTGTCCCACCTGTAACTCAGGGGGCTGATTGAACACGGAAGGAGCTAAGGCTCCAGAGCCACTTGCCAGGGCTCCTTGCTGTCCCAGCACTTTTGTTGATGTATCAGGGTTGAGAGCCTCATGTAAATCCAGACCAAGTACTTTGGTTTCCCTGAACCTGACAGCCTCAGGGTGCTCAGAAGAAAAGCAAACTCCTACCTTAGGCCATCCAAGGACCAAACCCAAAGGCAAATGACTTAGGGTTGAAGTAGATCACTTAAGCACAGGAGATCAAGATAAAGCTGGGCAACACAGCAAGACTCCATCTCAAAAATCAAAAATCAAACAAAACTGAAGAAAGGAAAGAATAGAAACATGTCAGATTCCCACCAAAAAATAGATGGTCCAAGATTACACAGTAGTACAGCCAGGACTGGAGCTCAGTTCTCCTGGCTTCAGTCTTGGGCTTTCTATATCTAGGAAGGAAAAGAAAGGACTTAAAATGGACAGGAATCAGGTTTGGAGAATGCTCTTCACTTAGGAAGACACTTTTAAAAGACCCTGCAACTGAGCCTAAATGGTACCTCCTAGAATAGTTATTATCCTATGCAAGGTGTCATTAGTGGGACTTCAGGAACCCTATTCATGTACAAAGCAGGGGTCCAGGGTTTGGTGAGATGGAGGAAGTGGTCATGGGATTGAAGATGGGCAAGCCTGGTTTTAGGATCTTGAAGTAGGCCTTTGAGAACAGCTGGACTTAGGAACCTCCTAAGGGTTGGGAAGAAACTATGCCATGGGTTGAGTTAAGCAGAAACTAGATTCCTGGCTGGCCCTCTGAATCAGTTTAGACTTTTTCTGTTAGGGCCTCAGGACTTGGTATGTTAGGGACAGAAGGTCCTTTGGGGTGTTGGCTTGGGAGGTGGCCAGCAGGGTAGTTAGTGTGTGAAAGATAAGGTTCCTGACCCTACCTAATTCCAAGCCCTGCAGATATAGGAGCAAGACCCAGAGGACACAGTTCTGGTAGAAAGGGAGTGGGTTAGGCCTTGGTGACAAAGTCCTAGGGGAATCAGGTCTCTAAGGGGACAAAGTGCCTTTGGAATCTAAGACATCTGAAATACTTGAAAGCATTCACTGTTTCCCTTCAATTCAATTCGCTTCAATTCTGTTCACTTCAGTTCAGTTCAAGCCAATTCAGTTCAACTCAATGCAATTCCATTTGACAAATATCCCTCCTAGGCACCCACCATAGCTGGCAGAGATGGATTACAACAGTGAACAAGACAGGCGGACTTTTGTGCCCACATTGAGCTTTATAGTCTAGATGGAGGGAAATAAAAACATCATGAAACTGGCACTTAATTACAAATTGCAGTGCATGCCACCCAATGGTTGTGACAGAGACCATCACAGGAGAGCAGGTTTAGATGGGGTCATCCTACGAAGTGACTTTCCCTCTGCCCCTGCAGCATGAGGAATTGCCTGGAGAATGTGACACCAGGCAACTTCAGGCAGCCTTACGGCTCTGCCTTTCTCCAAGATCAGGGCCTCCTAAGCCTTTTTTGCTTCATCCAGCCCACTGAACTTCTGAACGTTTTTTTGAATCTAGTTTTTCCAGGGTTTTCTGACAGAAGTTTCTGTCTACTTTAGGCTACTGCACCCTACAGAAGTGGAAGTCCCCCCATGACTTTGACTTTCATGTATTTCTCTTTTCTAACTATGTAAGTTGCAGACAAAAACAGTATCTTCATAAAAATTAAATTGAAAACTGTAAGAGCACATGCAATAAACTATGATGGTTCCTTACACTCTTTTGTGCTGGACCTCTTGTCCTTCTCAGCCTCCATGGGGACTATCCTCCACTGGAAGTTGTAACACCTGGGGTTTTGTCTTGTCCCCAGCTTTCTGCTGCATCTAGGAGACAAAAGAGGTATCTTAACCTGCCTAGCAAATCAAGGAACAATACAAGGCACGCTCAGCTCGTTTGTCCGCTGGAAACATAAATTCACCTCTCCATTGGCATGCCTTCCGTGTTATCAGGCTGTCCCTCAACTTCCTCCAACTGCTGGGGGACGGCAATACCAGTCTTACCTACCCAGATCAGCAGGAAGCTGGCTAGAGTCCAGGTGGCCAGCTGGAGTCCAGGTGGCCGTGAGTAGTTTGTCCTTTATCAATATAAAGTTTTATTTTTGTGGGGGTTTTATTATTTTTATTTTTTTGTATCAGGGATCAAACACAACCTCCTGCTTGCCAGGCAGGCACTTGTGCCACTGAGCTATAACCCCGGCTATTAAGGAAAAGATTTTGGAATTCATCTGACATGCCTGTGGTGGAAAGCGAGTCTCAACCCAGATCTCAGCTGTACAAACCTAGGGAATGCAATTTTTAGTTTTCCAAGGTTTACAGTACTGGAAAGTAAAGGGAGAACAGACTTTGCTATCCAAGACATGCCACTTTTGCATAGGATTATCTGAACTGAAGACACTTGAAAAAAAGAGAAGGGTTCTACTCTTGCCTTGTTTGTCTAAAAGCAGGGCATAGATTTGTACAGAAGTTAATCGATAACTCTAGATTCTTATCAGTCCAGAGATGACACTGGAGGACTCTGCTTAACAAACTTTCCTGACTGCCTCGGCTCTTCCACTAGCTCTTAGCTGCCTTCCCACGATTCGGCACCCTGAACCAAGTCCTTTTCCTTTGTCATACATAGCACAGCTCTGAAATTTCATGTGGTCGTTTAAAGATGTGAGAAGAGCCCAGGTTCTAACCACTGTTTGGCTCACTTGCTTCTGAGTTCCTCTTGTGAGTATATGAGAGACACATAAATGAACCATTTTGTTAGTTTGTCTTTTGTTACAAAACTACAAGCAAGAACTTAAAAGGGCAGAAGGCTAGGCTTTTTCCTGCCCTCCAAAGCTTATTAGGAAGAAGTAGCACAAACTCAGCATGAGCACTAGCAATATGTATAATAATTTGTCCTGTGTGGACACGGAGGGACAGGTTAGCATCGAAAGAAACCTACACAGACACTTCAGCTCAGGTGTGTGGCTCTGGGCATTATGGTTATGTCATCTACCTTTATTCATTAAAGTCAGCTGCATTTTATCAAGAGAAAGTGGCAGTTGTTGTCCAGTCAAATTAGTTTAGCTCAGGGCTGGGGATTTAGCTCAGCGGCATAAGTGCCTGCCTTGCAAGCAGGCAGTCGTGAGTTCGATCCCTGGTACCGATAAAAAGGAAAAAGACAAAAAAAAAAAATTAGTTTAGCTCAGTTTGTAACAGGTCCCTAGAAATAAGAAATGTGCATATTAAATGTAGATAAATACTGTCAAATTATTTTCTAAAAGATCTTCATCAGTCTTCTATTACAAGTGTTGGAGAAGCTCTTTTTCCTATTGCTACAATGTCTTTGGGGTCTTTTTCATTTGCATGTCCTTATTCACTCTGAAAGCACAAATAGTAAGACAGTGAAAATGATAGCTATGATTATTAAGCCAAGTATCATGTTGCACTAAGTATGAAAAGCCATTGTATTTAGTTGTGACCATTCTACCGGCTAATTGAAACCTCATTTTACAAATCATGGAAGCTGGAGCTCAGAGAGGTTGAAAACCTTGCCGGAGGTGCACCGAAGAACCAGGGACAAAACTGAAATGTGCACAAAACCAGTCTGTCCTTGTGAGGACACAGGCTGCGAAAGACATTTCAGGTTAAGGGTTGTATTACCTTAAGAATATTATTTAGTTAGTGTTTGGTAATTCCAGGTTTATCTCTGCATCATAGTTATGAAAATTGATGAGCTTGCTTCGGTAGTGCATATGCTAAAATTAAAAATTAAGTCTCAGACCCTCCAGCAATGCAGAAATACTGATTTAATTTTTCAATGGAAAAATTCCTCTTTGGGTTTCAAGAGGCTCCTAGGATCTCCAAATGAAGTTCCCATGAATTTAATCACTCACCTGGACTCCCAGCATCGGAGATA